AACATCACTTTCCCTGCACATCTCCATCAGAGCTCTTGGCTAACCAGATGCATTGTCATTGATTTATAATATTTTTCAAGAAATCTGGCTCCTCCCCAAGCACGAGGTCTCAGCAGTGGATTTCAAATATCATTAAACCAAGTTGCAAACAGATATGCTGTCACCCACCTTTGTTGTTCCATTTATAGAGCACAGGCAGAATAGATTTAGCTGTATTCTCAAGGGTTTTTGGATGTTTGGAATCGTAAATGAACATTGGCTTCAAGCTAAAATCAGCAGCTGTATTTGCCCCTGACGTAATAGTCAACCTGTGCTTTGAAGTTTTGAGGTCAGGCATTGACTTCTCTCTAGCAACGAAAGTCCCAGGTGGTATCTTCCTCCAAGGTAAAATGGTTTCATCTACACAGAAAATGTGTTGTCCAGTGCAGCCACCTTCATCTCTAGATAACTTCCTACAGCTCCTATACCAGAGCTGCTACATCTTGCACTTTTCTGTTATGGAGACAGCTACCTTCCTTAAACCTTATGTAACAATTTCTACTAGCTTTCAACTTCTTCGCCTAGAGCTTCTTCACTTCTCTCAACTTTCATGGAATTGACTAGAGTCAGGACCTTGTTCTGCATAAAGCCTCAGCTCAAGGGAATATATGACTGATCTATCTAGAATACTACAACTTTCTCTACACCAACAATAAGGCCATTTTGCTTTCTTATCCATGTGTTCACTGAGTAGCACTTTTAATTTCCTTCAAGAACTTTTCCTTTAAACTTACAACATGGCTAAGTGTTTGGTGCAAGAGGCCAAGCTTTTGGCCTATCTTGGTGTTCAATACAATGTCCTCACTAAGCTTGATCATTTCTGGCTTTGATTTAAAGTGAGTATCAAGTGGGCCTCCCTGGTGGCGCAAGGATTAAGACACAACCTGTGAAGCTGTCTGCAGCCACTGTAGCACAAGTTCGATTCTCAGCCAGCCAGGGAGCAACCCACATGATACAGCAGACCTCTCCAGTTTCGCCCGCTGCTCCCCTCAGCAGTGTATTTCACTCAGTCTGCCTGTTCTGCTCCCCATTCTGTCTCCGGTGAATCCTCTCACCCCCCACATCTCTGGCCTGTACCCCAGCTCTTGTATGCATAAATAAATAAATCTTAAAAAAAAATAAAGTGAGTGCCAAGAGGGAAGGTGGGGGAGGAAGAGGTAGTAGGGGAGCGAGGCAGATGGCATATGGGCATGAGTGATTTGGTGAAGTGGCACATGTGCCCATATAGAAGAACAAAACTTCCTTTGACTTAAGCACTTAGGGACATTACAGGATTACTCCCCCATCCCTTGATCCTTTCTTCCTCCTGCCTCCCTCTTAAACTCAGAATCCTCTTTTCATTTTTAATGTCTGCTACTTTTGGTAAGTGTATTACTTCGTCAAATAATTTACTATACAAATGTTCAGTATTTGTTTTGTCATCCAGACTTGCTTTCCTATAAAAAAGTAATTTCCTCTAACTCCTTCCATTTTGCTGTAAATGGCAGTATTTCATCCCTGTTTATGGCTGAATGGCATTCCATTGTATGGTTATACCACATCTTCTTGATCCAATCACCTAGCTATTATAAATAATCATTACAGGTTGATTAATTGACCTAATTTAAATACTGTATCTCAAGGAATAGGGATGCCCAAGGAGGGAGATAGAGACTGTGAATGGCTGGTCAATGGAGCAATCAGTCCACAAGTTTATTAATTAAGTACATAGTCTTATAGGGGCATGGTTCATGGATTCTCAGAAGCAATTCTAATAGTAATATCATGATCACTCACCATAGAGATGGTGACATAAGATAGTCTTTGCTTTGTTCTCCCTCACAAGAGGAACAACTGACAACTATTCAGTAAAGAGTCACCACTGCAAGCATCTGTGTGATGGAAGGTGCATGGAAGCGGACACAGAGGTGGTGTCTGGGGGAGACAGAGATGGAAGATCCTGGGGAGAGACCCTGGGGAGGAGAGTGATGGCAGCCAGTAGGTGCATGGCCTTGTCTTGGATGAAGCTGAAAGAGGAACAGAGGTGCTGAGCCAGGCTGGGCCACAGCAACAGAGGAAGCACTCTGTACTCTACTCTGCTGTTCTGAGTCCTTGGCATCTGCAGTGGGGCTGTGAGGTGTCAATAATAGATATTAGAAGGCTGAGTCTCAGATGTAAACTCTCAAAGAGGAGGGATCATAACAGGGCAGGCCATCCCACGGACCAGCCACATTCGTTCATCCAAGGCAGCGGGAGGCACTGTCTGAGCCCTTCTCCTGCTTCACCAATACAGCAGTAGCTTGTCCACCACACCCTGCTTTCCTGCAGCTAATGCAGCTGCCAGCAGTAATCTAAATAAAATAGATGGATAGATAAGTAACTAATATATAACTAAACAAATATATTAATAAAACCAGAGCACCACCTGCTGGAATAGAAAAAGTTCAACATCTCAGTTCTAAATTTGTGATCTTTGTGGTTCTTACTTATGATGAAGGGATATTTTCTTTTACTAGCTTTTAAAAAAAAAATTTGACACCAAATTATGGTTATTGAAATAAAGTGGTTTACATCTTTGTATCTATTCCAGGGGCCATAGGTTCAAACCTCTACAAATGTATACTTTTATACCCTGCCCACCACCAGCACCCCAACAATCATCTACCATGTTCCATTAAGCCCTGTCCCTTCTCCTGCTACCCTCTGGTTGCCCAGTTTTGCAGTATGATGTTAAGAGTTTATTATCTGGAAATTGGACATGTGTCCAGATGACTCACTGCAGGAAACCCAGATGATCAGTGACTCTGTAGAGAGACAGGACTGCATCATCCCCAGGGACCACCGAGCCCCTGTTTCCAGGCCCTGCAACCAGAGGGGGTGCCATGGAGAGGGCAGACTGGAGACCAAGGCTGGCAGGAGGGGGCAAGATGGCTCCTCCCTCCTCCGCAAACTGAGGGTGCCAGGAAGCTTCTACCAATGTCCAGCAGGCAAGGCAGCAACCCCTGCTTAAATGGCAGCACCTCACACCTACCTGCTCCTGCTGCCCGTGATCCCAATGGGCCTCAGCTGCTCCTGTTGGCTGCTGTCCCTGCCTGGGCTCTACCTGTTTCTATGACTAACATCTCTGCCTAGGCCTCACCTGAATGTATCGGGCTATGATCTCTCATTCTAAAGCGAGCAGGGTGTCAGGTACTCCGTGGCCAGTGTTCTCAGAGAAATAACCCCAATATCTCAGGCCTCACCTGCTCCTGCTGCCCTCCATCCCATCTGGGCCCTCTGGGATCTTCAGAGAACAAACAAGTGTGGTTCTATGGACAGCGCCCTAGTTCAGATTCCAGAGTGGACAGCACCCTGCGGCCAGTGGGGTTGGTTTGCACTCACTCTTTCACACTTCCACTTGAAGCCCACCTTCCCAGCCTGGGGACTTTTTTTTTATATATATAATGAGATAAGAGCTGAGTGTGGAACAAGAAACCGAACTAGAGGCTCAGCTGAGCTGGGGAGCCCCGTACAGGCCCAAGGCTGGCCGCCACTGGCCCTGAGGGTTCCCACAGCCGTACCAGGAATTACTTTGGATTTTAGGCCCCTAAAACAAGCGATAACAACAACAAAAAATATGCAGGTAATAGACATCATCAACATCATAATCTTCCGTGCAGCCACCAACAAGAAAGCCACCTACTCAATGAAACGCTGCGAGTCACCATCTGACAGGCCCTTGCATCCAGAACTTGTGACTCAAGTTAACATGAAAAGGACCAATAACCACCTGGAAACATCACTCAATTGTCTTCTTAGGGGCCGAATTTGAAGTTGGTAAATTGAAGAATATTCACACTCAGAGGCAGTCCACACCCACCCTTGGGACCTGGAGGTGAGGCAGCCATGGACACACTTGACCACTGTGGGGTGGACAGAGAGGGTCCAGAGGCTGCAGGGGCATTTTCTTGATTTGTAGGACTTTGATTTTATGAACAAGTCCTTGATACACTTGATTTAACCTGGATTAAGGAGGGGGCGACAGTCAGCTGACTGTTTCCCATAGTCATCAACCCCCAAGCCACTTACATAATAACAATTGTTTTGTCCCAGCTGCGCTGGGTCTGCAGGCAGTAATGTTGCATGTATATTTGGGACCATGTTCATTCCTGCAGCCAGACTGTCACTTGTATTCACATTCTGCGCACTGGGTGCGCGTCCCTCCTGTGACTCTCTGCAGACTTCTTCTAGATATGTTTGGGTATTTGTCCCCACAATGTTTAGAATCAGCTCCTGTGGACCCCACAGTCACTTCCATGACATCTCCAGGTGCTCCTGGGCAGGGGGCGTGAACTCAGTGAAAGGGGACATATTCAGGGTGTGGACATTCATCAGGGCACCTGCACTGTGGGTTATGTGGAGTTATGTGGAGAGTAGGAACAAAAAAAGTACACTGTACAGCCCTAAATATATGAAGTTGAAAGTCAGGTGACTCTGATCTTAATGACAGAGGTGACACATGTGGCTCCTCTGCAACAGGAGGGGTGACTAGAAGGGACATATGGGGCTCTCAGAGGGGATGAAAATACCTTATATCTTGGTTGCTTGACTGAGATTTGAGTCATGGATGTATTCATTGCCAAAACATGAAATTGCAAACTTATGAACAATGCAAATCACCATCTCTTGTTGATATTATCAATGATAACATAATACCAATAAAGATGCAACATGTAAACTATCATTTTTTAGCAAATGTGAAGTTAATTTTGTATGTAATCAGATGAATGAAATGCATGTTTTTAGCTCTTAAGAATAAATGATAGATCTCATATAGATCCTGTCCTCAAAGAACACAGAATGTAGGAAGAACCATTGGAAACCTGCTGTGAAGGACTAGAGAGCCCCAGAGGGAAGAACAAAAAAGGTGCACATGGGATCCCCTAGAGGCATGTGAACAGAAACCACAAGGAGACAATATTCTTTTTAGATGTTAGCTCTGCCTTAGTATTGGTGGATCTGGTTGTAATACACATGCTTGCAAGAGTTGAAGATGGGGAAGTGTTAACTGAAAGGTGGTGTTCAAATCTGGTACCTAGCAAATGAGCCCTGGCCTGATCTAAACATTCCTGAAGTTATTTGTTCATTTCACTGTGTCATTTGTTCAATATAAATTTTAAGCTAGGGAGATATTCTGAGGTCTATCAAAATCAAAGATTACTCTTTGGAGCTAGCCTGAATTTCAACTCTTTGAATGTTATTCAGCAAAGTGTAGGAATATGACCAAAGGACTTGTCATTATGTAACGTTCCTTTAGTTTTGTCCGTCTCAGTGAACACAGAAATTTGGACTTTTCACTGCTCAGCATTCCGTGTCTGCTGAAGGGGATTCTTCAGAAGTGGGAAGAGTCTTGGATTCAGAGGTGGCAAAACTCACCTGGGGACACAGTGCAGACCCCTGGGTCAGGCTGTCTGAGAGGCTGGCTCTGTGCTTGTTTAGCAGGTGTTGGGTTGTCACAGTCTGTCCTCATGAGGAGGAGAATTATCTCACCTGTTTTAATGCAAGGGGCCCAGAGCTGAAAAAAGTTATGAAAATGTCCCACACTCATAGGGACAAGTTGACTCTTAAAGCCACCTGTGTGTGACCGAAGCTGAGCTTTGAATCAGGATATCTCCCTGCCTCCCGACATCTACGGGCTCTCCTGGGGAAGGCTGCCTTCATGAGTGTCCACCTCAGGGATGTCCAGTACAGTCATCTGGAGAGCCAACTTGAGGTTCTTCCACCAGCTCCCCTGTCGCTGCTTCCACCTCTGCCTGCAGGAGCTGACCAAAAAGTAAATGATGGGATTGGCACAGCTTCTGACACAGGACAGGACACATGCAAGCAGGTCGAGGTGATAGGGGAGCAGGTCAATATCATCCTGAATCCAGAACAAAAGGAAAAAAAGGATGTCAGAGGGCAGGCCAAAGAGGAGGAAGACCAGCATAGTGAGGCCGAAGGTCACACACTGCTTGGTCAGCTGTGTCCACTGGGCTCCACACACAAGTCTGGTCAGTAGGACCAGGTAGGATCCCAAGAAAAGCCCAAATAAGAAAATCAGCCATATGCTAGTGATGAACTGAACAATTTGACACAAACCATCATCAGTGTCTTCCTCCAGGATGTCACAGTAGAACCCTTCCAGGATGCTCAGCAGCAGGGACAGGGCCCAGAGCAAGGCACACACAACAGCTGACATGTGTCTTGGGTGGCAGCTACGATACCAGGTGGGGCACAGGACAGACAGGCAGCGCTCAGTGCTGATGGCACTGAGAATGCTCAGGTTTGCGATGCAGGCAAGGGTCGTCACAGTGCTGAGAAAGTTGGCGATGGAGGAGGAGCTGAATTGAGAGGAGGTGATGAGTCCCTGCAGGGAGAATATGATCTGGAGGATGAGATAGAGGACGTCAGCTGCCGCCAGGTTGAGGATGTAGATGGAGAAGGTGTTTCTCTGCGTGCGGAAGCATAGCTGCCAGAGCACAGCAGCATTTCCTGCCAGCCCAATCACGGCGATGATTAAATAGAGCAAGTCCAAGATCAGACTCTCGAAGTCAAAATTCCCAGAAAGGTCCAAGTCAGTTCCATTCCTTGTCATGGTTGGATCTATGCTCAGAAAACTTCCACTTGTATCTCTGGGAATACAAAGCAGAAGTGAACGTTTGCTGAGCCATCAGTGATTCATGGTCAGTCTGTTACCTGGGAATCGCTGTATAGATGTCTTAGAGAAAGGAAGGCCTGTGGAGACCACAGAGTCCTTGGAGTCCTGGATGCTGGATTCAAACCAAGTTCTCTCTTATTCTAAAGGCTGCGCTATCTCTACCTCTTCTGACATGGGAATACCCTATGGTGCCTATGGTCCTACCACCCCTACTTACTACTTAAGCCATGTCATACTTGCAGGAAGAAGAGAGACATCTGGCAGTTTTTGTGAGACAGAGACAGAACTGTGACCAGCATTTCTTCTATTGTGGGAGTGAGCTTTCCTCCTAAGGGCAGGGTGTCTTAAGCCCCAGGCCTGGCTTACCAATCATCACAGTGCCAGAGTGGTTCACGTGCCAGGGAGAGAGGACTTCCTGAGTGTCAGGAGGGAATACGACCTCTTTCTATGACAGTTGTGAGTACGCCAGGTTTATTGAGCTAGAAGTGACCCAGTGTGTGGGCTATTTGAACAGAAAGATTTTTTCTTATCCATTGTCATGTCTTCAGTGCCCCGCTGTGTGTGGGTGACACAGTGGTTCTCAAAATATTTGTGATCAAATGAAGGAGTGCATCCATAAGGAGCCCAAGGGTTGTAGAGACCTTGGGTTTAATGTCAAACTAAATTTTCCAAATGAAACAAGTCACCAGGAAACATGAATAGGTGTGAACCTTCCTCTGGTCAAATACAGTGTTGTAAATGAATGCCTCAATTAAAAAAAAAAGAAAAAAAAAGAGATAAATGTAGGAAATTTCATACTCATTATTCTGTCTTGGAAAGTACTGCTGTGTTTGGAAACATTCACTATGTCTGCCCACTTAACTCCACATTCCACCATGAGTTCTTCCACCTAGGGAGGGCCAGTAAATGCTTTGGTGATGTACCTGGAGAATTAAAGTACATAGTGTAGTGCGAGGAATCAAAATTTTTCTGAATTTCAATGCATTGTAGAGCAGAAAGGGGCAAGCTGGAAAAGGGAGAGGTGGCATGGGGCTAACCAGAGAGAAGTGAAGCGTGGATGTAGCTCAGTGATTTGCCATGAACTGTGCAGTACAAGTCTGCCTGTTCTGTTCCGCTGTGGAATGGCGAGCCATTTGCTTTGCTGAGAAAAGCATTTGCGAAATATTTCTTTGGCAAAGAGCTGGGAAATAGAACAAGTGTTTGTCTCCATACTGTGCACGGCTTTGAATGAAAAGACACATCTTATGTAAGGCCCAACTTGTCTCAAATCTGGGGGAGTCATGGCAGCTGATCCAGTGCTTTTCCAGGACAACCTCTTTTAATCCTCTTCAGAAATCAGTGAGGTAAATATTTTATGCCACTTACAGATCAGGATTGGAGCATGAAGCAGGAGAAGGATATATGGCAGGTCTCATGCAAACAGTGGTGCAGCCCAGAGCAGAACCCACAGGTTTTATATCAGGGTTCTGTTCTTAACCAGCCTTGAAGCCCCACAGCCAGGGTAGAGGGGTCATTTATTCATGGAGGGAGTGGAGGACAAAAAGCAAAGTAGCAATGCTCATACAAATACCAGAATAACAAAACTGTGGGGTTTGTAGCTTGGATTTAGCAAATTTCCAACAGTGAGCCCAAGGAAGCAATCCAGTAAGGAGGGACATGGATGTGAGTGGAAACCCAATAGGAGCAAAACTCAAGAGCTTGAGTTCTTTCTGCTTCAGAAAAAATAGCCACTGTTCCACTCAGCAGAGGACGCACGTGGCAGGAGGCCCTGAGTAGAAAGAGGACATGTCCTCCTGGGGCAAGGACTGAGCCCTCACATGCCCTCTTAGTTTCCGCAGTCCTGGTGACCTGGCGAGAAGACGAAGGAACAGCACATCCTCTTATTCTCTCTCAGAATGACTTGCGCTTTTAGTTTATGGGACTGAACACAGCCTGCACCTTTGCTCTCAGGTGGGTGTCTATAGCTGTCTCCCCCAGTGAACTAGAGATCAAGAGGCCTACCCCTGCCAGGATGGTGTTGTGGTCTTCAAGTCCCAGCATTAAATGCCCATTTTGAGAGAACATCCACCGCTGCATCCTCATGGACACAGAGAAAGTGAGGTTAAAGAGAACAAAATGTTTTTTTTTTTTTTTTAAGATTTATTTATGCATACAAGAAGTGGGGTATAGGCCAGAGGTATGTATGTGTGGGGGGTTTGAGAGGATTCACCAGAGACAGAGCAGGGAACAGAACAGGCAGATTGATGGAAATACACTGCTGAGGGGAGCAGCGGGCGAGACAGGAGAGGTCTGCTGCACCATGTGGGTATCTCCCTGGCCTGCCAGGAATCGAACTTTCTGCAGAGGCTGCGGACAGCTTTACAGTGCTGTGGTTAACCCTTTGAGCCACCAGGGAGGCCCGAGGACAAAACGTTTTGTGATAATTAGGTCCAAGACTGATGTGGGTCTTGGGTCCCCACCTGTAGGTGTTCCCTCTGTTCTTGCCCCATCATTTGTGTGTGTGTGTGTGTGTGTGTGTGTGTGTCTCCCAAAGGTCCCTGTGAGCACAGACACTCAGGAGACCCAAGTATAGAGACTGCTAGTTGCTCCCTCTATCCTTTCTCTTCTTCCCAAGTATTATCATTCTAAGAGTTAGGGACAAGTACAAGGACCTCGTTTTCCAGCCTCCCCTCATTCTGGACAGCATGAGCGGTTGGCTGCTGGCAACAGAGGTGAGAAGTAAGCATGAGCTCCTGCGATCTTGCTTCTCTCCCCGGGGCCGGGGTGCTGTGCTTCCTGAGGCGCGGGCCCGCAGGCTGCAGCCCCTTCTCTGGCCGAGGAGAGCAGCGGCTCGGAAGGGCCTGCTCTGTGGCCCCGCCAGTGCTGTCGTAGTCACCCCCTCTTTCCTCCAAGTCTCTGTGATAGGGGTTTCAACGAGAATTGTGAAAATCATACACTTCAAATATTAATAAATATCTTGCACTGCTGTCTTTTAAAATAAAAACTACATTCCTAATTAAGGCATGGTGGAAATAGAGGTTTTTCAGAGAAGCGGCACTCGAGAGGTGCGGACAATTAAACAACTAACCAACCGACAAATCGAGAAGATGGAGTGAGAAATTTTCTATTCTCCTTGAGAAAGTGAAAAGGCCTTTGGAAATACGTCTGGGGAGGCGATAAGCAGAGGTTGACCGTCTCCACTTGCCATCAACCCCCATTTACATCCAGCCCACCCTCCTGAATCCTGGGGGTGACATCTGTCTCAGGGATGGGCTCCCTCTCCCTCTGGCTCCTTCTTTCAGTGAAAGGGAGACACTGACAGGAGAGCGAGTTGACGTTTTACGTCCTGGCTCCCTCCCTGCCAGGCTGAGTTGCAGGACTGTGTTACTCTACCCAAGGGCCTGGCCCCCACAGCTACAGTTGCCACTGCAGCTAGAACACAGAGATCCATGAGAGTCTGGTACCTACCATATCTTGGAAACAAATAATTGATAAATGTACCTTTCCTCCATCTCCTTCACGAAAGTGACAAGGTGCGCTGAAGAGAAGAGGCTCCTGGGATCGACAACCACTTAAGACACTTCTGTGCTCTGGAGAGGAGCCGGCACTGGCGGGAGAGGAGCCTGGTGCTGGAGGGACACTTGTCACAACTCTGGACAGCCTCTGTGGTTTCCTGGACAGGGACTTGCTGGCAAATATGAGCCGGAGTCGTAAATGACACAGGACCCCTCACAAGGTGTTTCTCAGCATTGGATCCCGCTCTACTCCTGTGTTTCCCCTTGGCCCACTTCTACCCCCCCTTCCCTTCCTGCAGAATTGTTGCTGTGGGGTCTTTTGCTGTCAACTCTGTGCCTGGGCAGCAGTGTTAGCCTGGGAGGGTTTAGAGCCAAGAATCAAAGACCCTCATTATTTGCCAAGCATGCCCTTCCCAGTCTGTCCTAATTTTTTTCTTCATTGTAACAATATACAATGAAATATTACTCATTGTAAAGGGGGCCAAGTACTTAGCTACTGCTGACTAAGGTCAGCTGCATCTGCTGTGAACCACAGAGCAATCTGACCAGCAGGGTGGACACAGATGAGCAAAAATCAGAAAAGCAGCCACCACGCAAGTATGAACTCAAATATCCAATCCCGAAATTGGTCATGACCCCTAAACAGACAGTCACGGTACTTCCTTCCAAGATCCTCAGCAGCCAGGTTGGGGTCTAGAGCAGGGCCCGTGTGGCAACTGACAGTGTCATGGGCTGTGGTGGTGTGACCAGCCTGGCACAGGAGGACAGGGCAGTGCTTGGTGCTGGTGGTGCTGAGAATGCTCAGACCCATGAGGTAGGTAAAGTTCTACACACTACAGAAAAAGGTGGGGTGGAGAGTGAAATGGAATAGAAGGAGCAGGTACATTCCTCCAGGGAATGTGCCACAGAAGCACAACCCATTTTGTCTCTCATGAGAGCCTTAGTAGTGTGTGTGTGTGTGTGAGAGAGAGAGAGAGAGAGAGACAGAGAGAGACAGACAGACAGACAGACAGACAGACAGACAGACAGACAGACAGAAGCATTTTGGATGATGATGGGTCATTGTTCTGCAAACAGGAGAAAAAATAACTAATGGAGCTTAGATCGGAAATGACTCAATGACACTAAGAGACAAAACAGGAAGTAAAAAACTGTGGGGCAGTTAAGCAGATGAAGGGGAGTCAGACCCTGCTAGGATGAGGCTATACATGGAGAGCACACACCTCGGCATTAGGACGCCCAGGGTCCCCAGGACAACAGCATTTCTTACAAACCTAAGCAAAGTAATGATGAAAATAAGCAAAGCCAGAGTCAGGATCCCCAAGGTAAAAGTTAGAGGAGAGCTCTGATCACTTTCACTTGTTGGTGTAATCCTGGTCCTCCAGGCTGGGACAGGGTACTCCTGTATAAAAACCTTCCATTGCTGCCCTGGGAACAAATCTAGAAACTGTTTGATGATCCCTGAATCCCATGGGCACCCTGTTACATGGAATTCTGTCCCCATGCTACAGAGGAGATTTGCAGAAATGAATACTCTCACAGGGAACCACATAACCTTGGAGCACTAGAACCTGGATTCACACACAGTTCTCTTTGACTCTAAAGTCTGGGCTCTCTCTACAGACCTCTCTACTGGCGTAGGAATGATTATAACTGGATTATATCTCCTCAGTGCCACTTGTCCAGGGCTTGTCTCATACCAAAAAATTTCCTGAAGATGAAAGCTTTAGTGTCTGTGAGGCAATCTGAGAAAGCAGTGGAGGGCTGTGGGCTCAAGCATTACTTCTTTCCTGGACCAGAAATTTCCGCTCAGGTGCAGGAATTCTGGAAAACACTAGGTGACCACAAACCACCTATATGGCTGAAAATGACCTAACTGCTGAGGTGAAAGAACAAGCTTTAGGGACATGAGGGGAATGTGCTCTTTTGCTAAAACAGTGTAAATGTGATCCTGCCACGTGAGCGAGAATTGGTTCTGGTGTCAACTGTAAGGAAGACAGAAACACTGTTTATATCCCTACAGGCCAGCTCTGTGCAGGGGTTCTTAGTAAATTTTCAATTGAAGGTATTATGGCACACAAAAGAAATCTAAAAAGAATATTTCATTCATTGCAGTTCTTCTTGAGAGCACAGAGTGTGTTTGAAAGAATTACCTATCTGTTCCCAGATAACTATGTGCCTTTGAAGTGAGGGCACAGGATGCCTTTGCTGAGGACCTAGAACCATTCTGAAGCACCATTTGTGAGTAGGAATTGGAGCTGAGTGTATAGGGAAGGAAGAATGGCATGAGTCTGGGTGTGTGCCACATAAACACAACCCATTTTGTCTCTCATGAGAGCCTTAGTAGTGTGTGTATGTGTGTGTGTGTGTGTGAGAGAGAGAGAGAGAGAGAGACAGAGAGAGAGACAGACAGAGAGAGAGAAGCATTTTGGATGATGATGGGTCATTGTTCTGCAAACAGGAGAAAAAATAACTAATGGAGCTTAGATCGGAAATGACTCAATGACACTAAGAGACAAAACAGGAAGTAAAAAACTGTGGGGCAGTTAAGCAGATGCTAGAGATAGTTCCTATTTGCCCTCGCGACCACTTTTCCAGCCTTTTCTACTCTTTGTGCATGCCAAGGGGCTTCTTTGTACCTCCTTGGTTGGATCCTTTCTCCAGGTTCCTGGTGGAATGAGCCACTGTGAGACACCCCTAGGAGATGGGAGGGCAGGGGTTACACTTGGGCTTTTCACTACCCGGTCCTCTGCCTGCGAGGCTGTGCTGGCAATGACACGCTTCTCAGCCGGTCCGCAGTTCCTCTCCCACTGCTGCAGCTACTTCCTTCTGGGTGAATGTTGCTTTAAGCCTAGTCCCTTTAAGCCTAAAGGCAGAAACAGTCTCACCAATGTTTGCTGAGGATGCTTTACCAAGCATTGCTACTTCTGAATCCTGTCCGTGTTTTCAAATAGTTCCCTCATGAAACACCTCTTGGTTACCCCAGGTTGGGCTTTTTTCTCCTGGGACTTAAGAGAACTTTGTAAATCATTTGAACAAGTCTGGCTTAATGGCAGTTTAGATCTAAGTGAAATGCCTGCATTTACTTTGATCCTTAAATTAATATGAGAAGCAAATTTCCCTCTGTGACAGAAGATTTGAGAGATTGGGATCAAAAATAGAATATGGGGCCTCCCCTGGTGGTGCAGGCGGTTGAGTGCTGCGCTGTGAGGCTGTCTGCAGCCTCTGCAGCGCTGGTTCGATCCTGGCTGGCCAGCGAGGGTCCCACATGGCGTGGCAGACCTCTCCTGTCTCGCCTGCTGCTCCCTTCAGCAGTGTATTTCGTCAGTTTGCCTGTTCTGTTCCCCACTGTCTCTGGTGAATTCTCTCACCCTCCTGCGCATCTGGCCTGTACCCCGATTCTTTTATAGATAAAAAAAAGAATAGACTATGGGGAGATGGTTCAGAGCGAAGAAAGTTGCTGGGTCTCCCTGTTATAGGGCAGGGAGAGGGGCACCCCAGACCCTACAAACCTGCCTGCTCTAAATAGGTTCTGCCACCCGCTGCATCAACACAAAACATGAGACTTTAATGAAAAGGAACTTCAACACAATTAGGAAACAATACAGGAAAGGCAAAGAATCTAGTTTCTAAATCAAGCATCCAGAGTTACCCGTCCCCTCGTGGGTAAAAGTCCATCCATATGGGATTGGCCCAGAGCAAGGCCCCAAAGCCTGCCACAAGTCTAAAGCATCTTCCAGTGGGGACGCACAGAAAAGGATCAGAAATAACCAGACAAGTCTGGAGGGAAAAGAGCAAAATCAAAGTCAAGACAAAAACTGCCATTGTCACCTCCCCACGGGTCTCACCCACATCTGTGTCACCCAGTCCATGACCAAAAAGCAAGTGCAGTTTCTTCACGTGTCTCTCGACTCCATGCGCCTCCTCCAGGTCTCCTTCTGGCTCCATCCTGCTCCTTCCTTCCTCAGTCTCCTCTGCAGCTTCTTCTTCTCCCTGCTCAGCTCCACCCTCCTTTTGGGTTGGGCAGGAAACCTGGAACCTCCCCCTTTCCTGGGGACTACCCTGTTACAGCCCTATTCAGATCTCCCACAACTGGAGCCTCTGGTACCCAAAGTTTCGTGAAAAGAACTTCCTATCTCTTACCTCATACTGAGGAAACACTGTGATCCTGGGATAGAGCACCCCAAATGAATAACAAAGAGGGTGGAATCTTAGAGCAAAACTGTAAGTGGCTCTAGATAGAATAGTTTTTGATGTATCATCTTCCCCTTCTCCCATTCTTTGTGTTAGAGGGGAGGCTTGATCTGTGGTCTTTCTACAATCAAGTGATACCAGAGGGCATTTCTCTGTCTCTAAAACGGGAGATGTGCACAGGAACTGGAGAGGGAGCTGGTCGCTAGCAAAGTTTATCAAGATGCTGTGCAGGACTTGTGTGTGGGCATCTCAGGAGCTCTTTGTGACATGATCCTTCACCCATGTATTTCTCTTTTCACACATCGGACTGTCTGAACATACCATATGCTCCCTTCTTCCACAAAGGTGCTATTTTGAAGCTAATGTGGACAAATGCTTTTTATTCATGGAATTGAAGAAAGTTTGCAGCTCTAAGGGTTAAACGTGTGCCTTTTATTTCTTTTGTCTGCCTTACTAAACTCAAAGCTCAATACTGTCCACACCTGTGTGAGTTTATTTTGTGAATGTTGCTTCCTGTTGTATCTCCAGCATCTACCTTAGAGACCACCTATTGTAATATCCTCAGGTAACACAGCAATTCCTTGATCCAGTCATCAACTGAGTTATTCAATCAACAGATATTAAGCTCAGGAGATATTTTAAGTCTTTCCTAAAGATGACTGCTCTTTGGGTATTGATTTAAAATTAATCTAATGTTAACTAATCTGTTAATGTTATTGAGACAGACTGACCAAAAAAGGTAAAATGTAATGTTCTTTTAGTATAGTAACCAGAGAATTTCCTTCACCTAGCTAAAGGAAGATTCTTAAAATGTGGGACTATTTCTGGACCCAGAGTTGGCAAAGTTGGGACTAGGGTGAAGATCCTGGATCAGATCACTCTTGAGAGGCTGTCTCAGAGTTTTTTTTTTGAACAGGGGCTATTTCACTCCCTCCTCAACAGGAACAGGAATATCTTAAGAGAAGCTAAGAAAACCTTCCCAACTAGTAAGGACAAGCTGGTTCTCACAGCCACATCTGTATGACTGAAGCTGAGCCATGAATGAGGACACCTGGCTACCTCCCGACATCTCCGCGCCCACTGCCAGGAAAAGAAAATCATCCCACCCACACACCCCACCCCGCGAAAGCCACTGTCAACCAGCATCCCAGAGGGGGAGAAGCCCGCACCTGACGGGGCAGAGCTGAGATGCAGCCAGGGGGCGCCGCAGCCGCAAGCCCCGCCCACCCAACTGCGCAGGCGCGAAGGCGTCGCTAGGGGGCGCCAGATCCCACGAAGGGGAAGGCAGGCCGACGTTGCCGTCTACCCCCTGGACTCCTGGACGGTGCAGGTGCCTCTTTTCACCAACTCTCTCCCTCCGCAGAGCAGCAGCACCTGCCTGCCCGTGCCTCTGGCCTGCCCCATTGAATCGAATGCCGGCCTCAGTTTCCCTCCCCGGTGGAGCAGCGGGTTGAGCGCCACGCTGTGAAGCTGTCCGCAGCCTCTGCAGGTCGAGTTCGATTCCCGGCCGGCCACGGAGAAACCAACATGGCGCGCAGACCTCTCCTGCCGCCCGCTGCTCCCCTCAGCAGTGTACTTCGGTCCTTCTGCCTGCTCTGTTCCCCGCTCTGGCTCTGGTGAATTCTCTCACCCTCCCGCGCTTTTGACTGTATCCCAGTGCTTGTACAAATAAATGAAATCTAAGAAGAAGAAAAAAGGAAACAGAGTGGAAAATGGTTAAATTTGTGGACAAACCTCACTGCGGCAGACTCATGTCTGACTGAACCGTCCTGCTCTGGGCAGGGGACAGGGGCTTTATGCAAAGGGGAAAGAGGGGAAGCTGAGGGAGGGTCTGCAAAGGGGAGGGGGAAAGGGTGGGCCCAGATGGGCGAGCTCCAGGCTGCTTTCCTCAGCTCCTGGGAAAGGGAGAAGACACACCTATCACACGAGGGGGGAGCTGCCAGAGATGGGGAGACCAACTTGTGCATTCCTCCCTGAGGGACCCGTCACTTGCAGCTGCATCAGATGCGCCCCAGGAGCTCAGACCAAACCTCACATTCGTAATAAACGCTGTTTTAGCTACACACTTCCTCCTTTATTTTTGTAGATTTATTTCTTTATGCACACAAGAGCTGGGGTACAGGCCAGAGGTGGGGGGGGTGAGAGGAGTCACGAGAGAGAGTGGGGAGCAGAATTGGCGGATGGACTGAAATCCACGGCTGATAAGGGCAGCGGGGAGAGGGGGAGGTCTGCTGTGCACAGTGGGCTGCTCCTGGTCCGCGGCGGGAGGGGGCCGGGGAAACTCGTCCTGCAGGGGTTGGCCAGAGCTGGGGATGTCCATCTGCACCCCCTGCCCCCCCCGGGAACTGAACTGCTTACGGGGAATTGAATCGTGCTCGGCTGAGCACGACCTGAGCTGCAGGAGAGAAGGCGCCGCTGTGGGGATCACGATGGAGACCGAGCTCAGGACCGACCCGCCTCTAGCCACAGGCAGACAGTGACCGCGCCCCCTGCCAGAAAACGAAAATAGGCCCCCCAAGACTCCCCACCGTGCGCACAAGCCCTGGGCAACCCGCACCTCTGATGGTGAAAAGCCGGCACCTGCCCCAGCAGAGCTGAGAAGCCCCAGGCGCCGCCCCAGGTGAGCCAGACCCCGCCCCCCCCGACTGCGCAGGCGCCTGAAGCCCCCTGGACCCTCGACCCCCTGGGCCCCGTACCTTATTTTCAGCTGCATTGCTCCTTTTCGTCCTCTTCTGCTCCTTGCTCTCTGCAGCAACCTTTATTTCGCAGCCCCCAGTCTCAGGTGTGCCGAGTAAGCACGCCCACCCCTTCCGACAGGTGCCCACCCTGAGGCTGCCGACGCGAAGCATGCACTCCCAAACGCCCCTTTTTTCACTACCCCAGGTTTGCCACAAAGGCATTTGGCGCAAACCCCGAAAGGAAGCAGTCTTCCCTTACCCCTCAGTCCATCTAGCCGCTTGCTGTCTCGCCACCATCCCCACCTGGTTTCTCCTGGCCAGTGAGCCCTGCAGCCATGAGCCACACAGGTGGACGGCGCAACTGAGCGCAATCACGACAGACATAGCAGAAACCCGCTCCTTCCAGCCAGGGCACCCCGAAGGGCTGAATGAGCCGCTCCTTTGCACGCCCCTCCTCGCCATGATCCCTCTAGACTGCCCCCCAAAGCCCCGCTTACTCCAGGGGGAACCACTGCTCAGTCTCCGCGGACTCCGCCGTCCCAGGCAGGGGCGTCGGGCTCTGCTCGCAGGCCTTCTCTGGGCTGCGGATTCAGCACAAGACACACCCCACACCCCCACCCCAGCTGTGCGCACTGAGGTCTGAGACGCTCAGCTCTCTTGGGGGGAACAGCCCAGCCCCAGGGGTACTCACTGCCGTCCCCGCCGCACCAGGTCTCACCACCGGTGCCACGCGGGCCCTGCGCTCAGGGCAGCCTTTTGCCCGTGGGCACGGCCCGGCCAGGGAGACCGCGCTCCCCGCGGGGCCGCTCCGTGCCCCTCTCCGCCGTGGGCTCCCCTACAGGCCACGTCCCCGCCTGCCCCCTGAGGTTCCTCCGCCCTCACCCTCATTCCGAAGCCAACGGGGCTCGCCCACAGGTGCCGCGAGGAGACTCCGCTGCTCGGGGAGCATCCGCGGCCGCGTCCCACTTGTTCGGGGCTCCCCACCTCAGCGCGTCTGAGAAGCTCTTTGGACTCTCCAGCCTGCTGCGGAGAAGCGCCCCAGACCGCTGACGGCCACCCCGACTCTCCTCTCCGGGGGCGCACAGAGGATCCCCTCGCTCCCCCACCCCCGGGCACCACAGGGAAGGCGCCGCCCGCGCCAGCCCCCAGCGTGCTCGGGAGTCCCCGCCGGCCGTGGCGGGTGCCCGGCAGCGCCCGCAGCGGATGGGGCGTCGGGCTCCTGCTCCCCTGCGGCTGCGTCAGCGGCTCTGGGTCCTGGGCGGGTCCCCGCCTGCAGCTCGCCCTCTCCTCCAGGTCTAGCTCTGGCAGCCCGGGGCCGCGTCCGCCTTCTGGGGTCCTCGGCGCCTCCAGGGTCGTCCCCTCCCCTGCCACAGGCAGAGCTTCGAGGGGCGCTCACCCCAGACCCGCTCTGAGCTAGGCCCACGTTAGTCCGCGGCGCCCCCGCCGGGTGCACAGTCCTCCCGCCACCAGCGCCGGGTCCGGGGCCGCAGGGAGGAGCCGCGCCCCTCGCTCCCGCCCGGGCCTTCGGGGGCCGCGTCCCTGTTGGCTCCGGGTCCTGACTCCCGGGCGGGGCGTGGCGGCGGCTGCGGGGCCGGCTCCGGGGGCTCCGGGCACACGGGCAGAGGGTCCTGGGGCTCCCGGGGGCTGGCGTGGGCCTTTCGCGTTCTCCCCGACGGCGCAGCTGGGAGACCCCGGGGGCGGGGCAGGCGGGCGGCCCGGGCCCGGGGGAGACTCCCGGCCCCTGCGAACCCAGACTCTCCCGCTCTCTGGGCCGGCGCGGGCGGGCGGACCGGGGCTGAGAGGCCGGTATCCGGGCTGGGGGGGGGGGAGCGGACTGAAGGGCGGGCAGGCCCCCCGAGCCCCTGGGGGATCTTGACTCTCTTGGGGCTCTCTCCGGCGTTCCCGCGGGGTCGCCTCCGGTCCCGGCCGTTGCGCGTCCTCTCTCGCTGGGGGCCCAGAGCCCGCCGGGCCGCGGAGACGCCGCCTTATATGCGCCACCCGCGCGCCCCAGGTGTGCGCCCGCGCCCGCCCCCGCGCTCCCGCGCGCAGGGCCCAGGTGATGCCCTCGAGCCCCTGGCGCCCGAGCCTGAGCGGCGGCCTCTCCCGCACAGACCCCCGCTCTGGCCCTGAGCGCCCCACCGCGCGTGCACTGGATCTTTTCGGGGCCGCCCCGTAAAGGGTCGCAGTGTCTTGTGTGTTTCGGGAGGGACGTTGGGAAAGGAACTGACTGACCCTGCGGTGGCTGCAAACGCGCGGGGACTTTCCCGGCAGCGCAGGTGCTCCCGATCCACTCTCAGAGCCCCTCACCGCGGAGCTCACCTCACGCGCAGCCCTCTGCGTGTTCTCATCACAGTCCTCCATTTCGCATTTAGCCAGAATATTCCAGGGACCCAGCACATCGCCCCCCCCCCAAATTAATCGTCTAGGTTCCCATGTGGAATCCTATCCCCCCGCCCATTTCAACCCTCAGCACCTGCTCCCACTGGGTGGCGCATCTTCCTCCATCTGATCCACTTTTTCGTTTGGCAGCTCTTCCTGACAAACTCCTCATTTCCACAACCAGGATGCATGTAGTGTGTGCCCCTGCCTGCACTGGGGGGAGGGGGGAGGCTTTTCTTTTTCCCCAAGAGTTACTAATTGTGTACACAAGCACTGGGGTGTAGCCCAGAGGTGGGGGCGGAGGGTAGAGGGTGCACCAGAGAGAGAGGCGGTCAGAGCAGGCGGATCTACTGAAATTCCCTGGTGAGGGGAGCAGCGGGGAGTCGGGAGGGTCTGCTGCGCCCTGTGCGCTGCTCCTGGCCGGTGGGGATCCATCTCTTGCCGCAGTGGCTGGCAACAGCTTGACTGCGCTTTCTTTAACCCCTGCGCCCCCAGGGAAGCCCCGTGGGGGTCTTTTCTCTTGACTCTTACGCTTTGGGTTTCATGTTTGTACATTTATTTATTTATTTATTTATTTATTTATTTATTTATTTATTTATTTCCCTCATGGCTGCTGATCAGTTTGTTTCCCCAGACTCAGGGCTGACTTCCCAGGTGGTGTCGACCAAGGGGAAAATCAAATTACCATTTCTATGGCGGGTTATCCAACCACCATGACTAAAACAGGGCGGTATTTCAGCTTTCCTTCCACTCTCCGGCCCTCCCACCCCCCCATACACACAGAGGCCCTGTGAACCTTGCTGACAATGACCACATTTTCCTGGCGGACTTTTGCACAGGAGGTTCCCTCTGCTTGAAGCGCCCTCTGTGTCACTTCATTGATGTCATTGTCAAGTCATCGCTCCTCAGAGACCCCCCCAGGATCACTCTCACTCTGTAACAGCACCCCCATTACCTCCATCTGTTTTCCTGACCTCTCCTTCCCAATACCTGTTAGTCCCTGACATTTTTCCCGTTGGCCTGTCCGCTCTCCCCTTTCCTCTGACCCTCAGCAACCTGGCTGGCTTCTTAGAGTCCTGTAAAGGGCAGGACTGGGCACAGTGCAGGTTCTCTGATCCCATGCAGACCGGGTAAAGGAGTCAGAGTCCTCAGTAGTTTTGCAGGTTTTTTTATTGGGGTTCACCAGGCATATGGCAGGCAGGGGTGCTGGCTGGGGGGCTGGGAGGCTGGCAGGCCTCCCAGCCCCCAGCAAGTCTTCACTCTATCTGGGCTCTCTGGTGTTTGTTCTGCTGCTTCTCGTTTTCTCTTTCGGCTTCGGCTTCTACTGCTGCTGCTGGCGTCCCCGTGACGCCGCCCTTAAAAGCACCGTCTTAGCTCAGCTGAATCCCATCTACCTATGCCCACACCCTATTCCAGGTGCCCGCCATCAGGCATGCATTCAGGACAAGGATCCATCATCTATCCTGATGGCGGAAGGGCAGAAAAGCCTGACATTTTCTTTACCCTACAGTCCACCCCCTCAGGGTTTTCTGCCATACAGTCTATACATACATATACAATTTTCTAAGCAAACAAACAATGCAGCCATGGCCCACAAAAGCAAATACATCAAATATAACAAAATACAATATAACAAAATACAACAGAACACAAATAAGTCCAGGCAGGGCACCAACCTAGAGCAAAAGACAATTATTGGTACCAGCAGATGAGCCACCAAATCTGCTGCCGAAGGCACTGCTCATACGAGGGAGGGGAATCACTCACGCCATCTACTATAACACACCAGGAGCCGTCAGGCTTCCTGGCCTTCTCTGGCTGTAGTCTCGGCTACAAGGCACACACAGCATCCACCCCCAGGATGCACTAGCTCTGGGATTGGCAATTTTATTCTGTTGGGGGTAATCGCCAACCCTCAGGGTTTCTGTCTGCTGTCGCTCCAACACTCGGCCTTCACGGCCACCCATGCGACTCGCAGACCCCTGCACTCAAGCCAACTCACTGCACAAGCACATGGGTTGGGGATCAAAACTCTACATGTGGCTTGGGCTCCACCCCAAGCCACGTTCCCCACCCGTCCCCCAAGGACAGGTTCCTCAGCAACTCACCCTCACTCAAGAATGAGCAGGGCATCACCCACAGGTGATTTTACGAGACTCACAGTTCTTCAGCATACCCAGGCTGCTTAACAGCCACTCAGGGCTTCTCAACTTAGCATCAGTACCAGCTTTTGCTTTCTTAGTTGGCTTTTCTCCTCCACCTGGATGCTGGGCATGCACAGGCTGCTTTTGGCCATCTAGGCCCACTGGCCACCCCCAGATTCTCAAAAAAAAAAAAAAAAAAAAAAACATAACCTGCCAAGGTCCTCCACCTTCTGGCAGGATTGTCAGTCCAAGTTTATCAGTCCATGTCCATCAGTTGAAGTCCATTGGCCTCTCCTTGCGTCAGCAACGTCCTGCTGCCTCAGGGGTCATTGGCTGGTCCTTTCCGGTGTCGTTGGCTGGTCCTTTCGGGCATCTGCTTCACGCCAGGTCTCATCCTGTAGCTCGTGGACGTATCCATCTTCTATACCGCCATGGCGCCTCCAGCATCGTCACAGGCAGTCTTTTACTCCTTAGTCCCTCCAGGTCTTCGGAGGGCTCCGATACCCGTCTGCATGGATCCTGCCGACTACGCCAATTGTAAAGGGCAGGACTGGGCACAGTGCAGGTTCTCTGATCCCATGCAGACCGGGTAAAGGAGTCAGAGTCCTCAGTAGTTTTGCAGGTTTTTTTATTGGGGTTCACCAGGCATATGGCAGGCAGGGGTGCTGGCTGGGGGGCTGGGAGGCAAGTCTTCACTCTATCTGGGCTCTCTGGTGTTTGTTCTGCTGCTTCTCGTTTTCTCTTTCGGCTTCGGCTTCTACTGCTGCTGCTGGTGTCCCCGTGACGCCGCCCTTAAAAGCACAGTCTTAGCTCAGCTGAATCCCATCTACCTATGCCCACACCCTATTCCAGGTGCCTGCCATCAGGCATGCATTCAGGACAAGGATCCATCATCTATCCTGATGGCGGAAGGGCAGAAAAGCCTGATATTTTCTTTACCCTACAAGTCCCTTCTTTTTTCTAGGAATTTTACTTTTCTCCCTCACCTGCTAAGTCAACGGAGGGATTTTGTCTTTGTCATTCTCACTCGCTTTCCAACAAAGTGTTGGAGGGCAGGGTGAGGACACCCCATCACCCCCAAACCTGCCCGTTCTCAATAGGTTCTGCCAAACAGCGCATTGAGACAAGACATGCTAGTGCGTGAGGCCTTTCCTGGAAAGGAACTTTAATACT